AGCCTTGCCCTGCTCACCCCCAAAGAGGCAAAGGTATATGTACCTTTTATGTTTAATTTATTTTTCATTTTTTAATTAAATGATAAATACTTGAGATGAAGGTATATGTATTTTAAAATAAAAACATTCCTTTGTTTAGTTCATCTATCTCTGAGCTCAGGTGGGGTTCAATAATGTGGATTTTCTGGAGGCAGATTAAGGGCTCTGGAGCTACCATTGGGGTGGGAACATGGCCACGTACATGGTGAGATGAGAAAGGCACCACCAGAGGTCCTGTCTCCCCAAAGTTGCCCCCTTCACCTACCCCACATCTGGAATTTCTACACCAGAATCCCCCTAGGGTGTGAGGATACCATCCAAGACAGCCCTGCGTTGCCCGGCAAGCATACACACGAATCTGTCAGTAGTCAACAAAGGAGTGAGGCCTGGGTCAGGGCAGTCCTATTTCTACACCAGAATCCCCCTAGGGTGTGAGGATACCATCCAAGACAGCCCTGCGTTGCCCAGCAAGCATACACACGAATCTGTCAGTAGTCAACAAAGGAGTGAGGCCTGGGTCAGGGCAGTCCTGGGGGAAGGTGACTCAAGAGAGACTGGAGCCTGGGAGCTGCCGGGCAAGTGGGCTGCAAAGGGCATGGTGGCTGCAAGGCAGAAAAGGCAGGAGCAAATGCAGAGCTGGACACAGAGACAGGTCAAAGTCCACCTACTCTGATGCTTGTCCACACATGGCCCTGGATTAGGGACAGGAGACGTGCCACCCTAGGACACCTCTGAGGACCAGCCAGGAGCCAGTGGGAGCTGTCGCCTGTGACCCTGTTCTCTGTGTACCGACATCCTTAATTATCCTTAAATATACAATAGGACTCTATCACTCAGTTTTTTGAAACACTCTTTGAATCACTTTAACTTTTTAGCCTAAACCACCTCTCAGCCAATTAAAACCTATTAAGTTTATTATTGTTGTACAAAGTGCTATTTCATCCACGTGAAAGTTTTATTTTGCTGTAAAATACTGCACATGTTAGGCATTATTTTTATTATTACTGTCATTATGATTAGGGGTCCAACACCAGAAACTCTGCTACTGGGTAAGGGGAGGCCACATGTTCTCCCCTCCCCAATTTCCCAGAAAAAATTCTGTCAGAAACATGATAGATCTGTTAAATATACATGGGATAAATTATGTAAATTGTGAACTAGAAGCCCAAGTTCTAGTTATTCTGACAGAATTATATATTACATCTTTTTATGAAGGTAGTAAATAACCCCCCACCACTGCAATGTTCAAATAATCTATATCCTCTTTCTCCCCCACCCTCTTACCCCCATACCCCTGATATTAGGGCTATGCCACCCTTATAACAACAACCATCTTTCACCAGTGAGAGGTGGAAGACATCCTTTTTGTGAGAATGTTAAACCAGTAACTAAATATTTCTAAATATCTCTAGATGTACTATTTCCCAAACTTAACTTCAAGGGAGCAATGGGGAAAATCATGCTTACCATCTTCTGTACAAAAATAAAGTCTTTGCTGTAAGTGGCTAGTGCTTTATTAAACAGTTTTCTTTCTAGGGAGGTCCACTTGTCCGAACCTACAACGAAACACAAACTTCATAAGAACAGCTCACAGTTCTCCCCACTTTTAGTTGCTGGGTCATTTAGTTAAGTCACAAAATACAACTATCTAGCAAGTGATATGATACATATCCTCCTCCTGTTTGAAAAGCCAGTGTAGTATAATGGTTAGCAGCCTGACACCTGGGTTCAAATCCCAGCTACAGCCTTGACCTTGAGCAAGTTACCTAACATGACTCAATTTTGTTACCTACAAACGTGAATAATTACTTCCATCTCTTAGGATTTTTGTGAAAGTTAAAGATGACAATGCACAAAAACTGCCCAGCTTAATAACTGGGAAATAGCACTCAACATATTTTAGCTACAAATTTTTATGTAATTACCATATTCACAAGTGCAAGTATTCATGGCATAAGCACTCTTTAGGGTGTGGTTGGATTCACCAGCCTCCACCTTCAAGATGCTCACAACCTACTGGGGAGACAAACCAGAAGTTGCTGTGTTCAAGGTGACAACTGCAATTATAAAGGTAAAGGTGAGATACCAATGGGGCACAAAGGAGGAACACCACACTCACGTTAGGGCCGGGCAGCCAGGAAGGCTTCCAGGTAGAGAGAACACCTGAGTTGACTTTTAAAGGACATACAGAGGCAAGTCAAGCAATAAGGAGATGGAAGCGTACTTTGGGGAAAGGAAGCATGTGCAAAATCAGAGGCAAGAATGAGATGATGCACTTCCTTCACTCATTCATTCATTCATTCATCCAACAGGTATTTATCAGGTGTCAACTACAAGCAAGACACTGCTAGGAAAAAAGAGTTAACATTTATAAGTGCTTACTATGTGGCAGGTTCTAAGTAATAGTTATTAATCATTTGGTTCTACCATCAACCCTGTAAGATAGGTATTACTATTATCCCATTTTACAGATGAGGAGACAGAGGTGTTCGAAGAGTGACCAGTAATCCAGTATGACTCAAGTATAGGGTCCCAGCAGAGGGAAAGCAGATGAGGCTGGAGAGGTGAGTGGGACCAGTTCTTGACAGACTCGCAGAGTGATGGGGGAGAGGTCCGCCATGCTGGGCTGGTGCTGGCTTGTTGCCAAACTCAATATCCATGAAAGAGAAAGCAGGATATGCAGATGATCATATAGAATGGTACTGGCCTACATGGTGCAAGAAATAAGGTCTACTTCTAAGGGGGCTCCTATTTCTGGAGGAAAGGTTCATCCACCATAGCTGGTTCACAGAAAACTCTGCCATGTTCTTCTGGCTTGCTGATTTCTCCACATCTCTGATTTTTTGGATGGTACATGAGAGGCTTGACATTCTTCCACTTGTTCTCAGAGCTCTAGTCGCCCAAATCATAGTAGCTTTTCTCCCATCCAGGGCAAGTCCAAGGTTTCTATTTTGCTATGGTCAACCGGTGGGGCTGAAGTATGGGAAACTTGAATTGCCTCTTCCCTTGGAAGGTTCGACTAAAATTAGTGAATCAGGTGAAACTGCTCTGGCCAGGGAGGGGCCTCCCTAGGTTACAGGTGGAGATCTCAGGATCCTCGACAGAATATGTGGCTCAGTGAAGAAAACTCAAGATTTTTGAAATAAAAACCTTCTCTGTCTGACTCCTTGATGGGTCCTCAAGCTAAAAGCTCTGGCTCCAGACTCAGAATATGCTCTCCACAGCTGGGTTGGTTCAGACTTCTAAAAAAGCAGGGCCACCATTTCTTTGGTTTTCAAGTTTATCTCTTTGCATCTAGAAGGAAAGTAGCTTTCCAATGAATCATTAGCTGAAGGAAGCATCTTCCATAGGTTCTGGAGGCCTAGACATCTGTGGCTGTGCAAGCAACAGGGAGGGGAAGAGGGGTTTGGGGTTTGGAGAAGCCTTGCTGGAGTGGATGTGAGCAGAGGAAGTTGGTGGGATTTGTGGCTTTATAGCAGTTCCATCATCATTTCTCAAATTCTGTCCAACATTCAAGGCCTTGGGGCCCCAGCTCCCATATGCTCTGCTTACCCAGGAGCAGAGGCAGAAAGAGGAAGACGGAAAGGATTAATCAACAATTTAGCTGAAAGACGAAAGAATATTAATAGTTCCTTTTAGGTACATCAAAATAGCAAACAGATAACAGGGGTTGGAAAGACTGATGGAAGAAGATCCCAATGGTAGTGAAGGGTGAATGGTAGTGAATATAGGAACTCTCTCTATTATCTCTGCAACTTTTCTATAAATCTAAAATTATTCCAAAATAAAAAGTTTATTAAAAAAAAAAAAGAAGAAGATCCCAATGGTGACATGTCACATCAGCTGAGTCACACAAGCTTACAAGGAGGCTGATGTGCTGCCCTACTACAGGGCCAGAGTCTGTGCCACCTTTGATTGCATTTCAGATGAGGAAATCAGGACATTTTGCTGATGAAACCCTCAACTAGATCAATGATCATTCTTTCTAACCTCAGCCAGACCATCCATTTCCTGAGTTAGAGTGCAGCTCTAAGACACGGCACGACATGAATAGGGCCATCTAGCCTTCTGAGGCTAGTGCCCCATCTCTATGGTGGATACACTTTCTTCCACTCCATGCAAGGCTCATCACCTGATTTCTGGCCCAAAGAGGAGTGTTAAGTTCCCAGGTCTGTCTACTTCTGAGTATGTCCCTTCATGTTTTCAAATGGCTTGCTGGCTTCAACCCCATAAAGGTGAAATAACTTCCTGGCCCATCTATTATGGGGGATTCTCAAACCTCATGAGGGAAGGAGACCTTCCCCCTGCTGATTCTTGGAGGTTTTCAGGGCTGCTGCTCTGTGATGGGATCTTCTGTCTTCTGGATCCCAATGTGTGCATTCTGCACAACTCATCTGGATTGGGAGTGGGCTGCACACCCTCCATTCCTCTCTGTGCCACTCTCCCATTCTGAGGGCTGCAGGGGCTGGGTCAGGGAGGATGGGCTTAAAGAGTAAGAGATGGTTCCTCTGTGTAGTCCTAGGATCTGTGCTTTAGTGCAAGTGACAGTGCTGTGTGTATGTGTATCCAACAGGGTGTCCATGAAGCAAGGGATAGAGGCTGGGCCAGACAACAAATCTGTTCTCACATTCACACTAGAGCTGGCCTTCTGATTGCTGGATTGCCCCCCAGGGCGGAGACTCTACCCCAGGCTCTTAGACTACATTCCCAGGCCAAAAACTGGTACAGATAACATCTGAAGGCGTTCTCAAACACTATCACTGAGCCATGATAAAAAGGTTGGCTTTAGTCAAGAGACCTTAGGCTGTGAACCTGGTTCTGCCGCTTACTCCTTCTGTGACCCCAGACAAGTCTGCTTAATTTCTCTGAGTTTCAGTTTCCTAACCTGTGACAGGGGGATGATGACAGTCACCCTGCGACTGACAGTGTTTGGTCCTAAGCAGGTACTCAACAGATGTTTTGGATATTCACTGGACACGTGGAGAGCAGACTCCAAACCAGCCCAGGGCTATGGGACATATTGTCTCCTGCTCATGTGTGCATGGTAGCACTCATGAAGACTGCATGCTCCTGCAAGGGCTCCTTGTTTGTGTATTTCTAATCCCACAGCCTTACCCCTAGTGCTCATAACTTCCATAGTCTTCTACTCCCTGCTTTCAAACCCCCTCTGTAATCCCAAATCAAGGAAAGGCTCAGGCGTCTCTCTCTTTCCTGGAATCTGACAGGGGCACTTTCCTCATTCTTAGAGAAGGTTCTAAGCCAGCCTTTCCTTCTTGAATTCTGCAGCTCAGACAAAGTCCAGGATAAAATGCAAAAACTGAAGTAAGGGCTGCCTCCAACCCTCCCTTTTCCTTCTACACCCCCGCCCCCCACCCTTCCTTTCTCTCTGAGATCCCTGCTACCCACTCAGCATACATACAGGGTTAGTGGGCTGACATCCCCCCAGACTCATTTGTTCTACCTGGGGATTCCTGGCTATTGGGCTATTATCCGCAGGGGCCCCTAACAAGACAATTAAGGCTAATTACAAAGAACCTAATTAACTGGATAAAATTGGTGCTGGAACAGTATCCAGAGGAAAAATGTTCTCAGCTTTGGTTGCTGGGAAACAGGTTCTGGAAAGATTGTGGCTTATTTTGGGGCAATCTACAGTGAACCCAGGCAATTAAAAAGAGACATAGAGGAGTGAGAGAAAGTTTGGGTGCAGTATCTTTTAGAGGGCCTTTCTGCATTCCTTTAAGGATTTTTTTTTTTTTTTTTTTTTTAAAGATGACCGGTAAGGGGATCTTAACCCTTGACTTGGTGTTGTCGGCACCATGCTCACCCAGTGAGCTAACCGGCCATCCCTATATGGGATCCGAACCTGGGGCCTTGGTGTTATCAGCACCGCACTCTCCCGAGTGAGCCACAGGCTGGCCCCCTTTAAGGATTTTAAAACACTTTTATTGTTGTTGTTATTGCAGTTATACAAGACAGACATGTTCAGTGTGGAAAAAGGAGAACTGTTTTTATACCAGATCTTCATTTCCATATAGGGTTTTTCATAGTGGGTAAAGGTTGAATAATTTTTTTACGGGTGTGGATAAGGCAGGCTGCTACCTAAATTCCCTCTGGGAATAAAAGGGAGGGAGGCCTCAATGTGAATCTAGAATTTGAGCTTGTCCACTAAGCATTGTTTTCCAAGTGCTGTGTCAGGCAAGCAAGAGAGGAAGTATTAACTCAGTTCCTGCCCTTGAGGGGACCACTGACTAGCTAGAGATGTGGGCTAAAAATCCCTGGGAAATGAAATCACAGCTGTGTTCCTTGCAAAGTATTCTAATGAGTATGTAATTCTGCTTCCTCATCAAACTGGGCACCTTGCAAGGTGGAGGAGACCAGGCCTCTCTCAACCGAATGGGTATTTCTTCCAAGCCTCCCCCATGGAGCTCAGGTCAAGGTTTCAGGCCCCAGTGAATGCTTGGGCTGTGGTGAGAGCTGATAGTAGTCTCTGAATGAACCCTTGCTAAGAAGCCAGGCTCTCAACCGAATGGGTATTTCTTCCAAGCCTCCCCCATGGAGCTCAGGTCAAGGTTTCAGGTCCCAGTGAATGCTTGGGCTGTGGTGAGAGCTGATAGTAGTCTCTGAATGAACCCTTGCTAAGAAGCCAGGGCCAGTTCTAACACCCCCTCCACTCTGCACCCATCTGCAGGAATGACCAGTTCCATGGAAAAACCAAGGATGCTGCAAGCCCTCTAATCACAACCAGGAATCCTCCCCACCCTGATTCCCCTTCGCTCAACCCTTCCCCACCCACGCAAGTGCTAACTGGAAACCCCTGCAAACAACTGCTAACCACATGTGGGTGGGAGACACTGAAAGGACACAGGGCTGGGCTGTACATCCCGGTGTGAGTGGAGTGCTGGGAGCCACTGCAACAGCACTTTCTGCTGAGGATCTTGTACAGGGCTCATCTGGCCTTGGCAAGCATCCCTCAGACCTGGGCAAGTCGCCTACCCCACCAGTCCTTCCCTCCCTACCATGTCTCTCCTGGGTCCCAGCATTGGTCACTTTTTCCTTTTCTTTCTGAATTGCTTGTGGCAGGGTAGGAAAGGAAAGATAATGAATAAAATAAGGGAGTGATTTTTCCCAGGCCTGGGTCTCTTTCTCCCCCAAACTTGCAGCCTCCCTCCCTAAGCCCAGTCTTGCTGCCTTCCCTCCAGGGCACAGACAGGCCTGGGAGATATGAACTCCCTCTCTAGATAGCTAGGAGCCTGGAGTGCAAATTCAGGGGTGGATGACACAACCACAGAGCCTGAAGCAAAAGGACATCCAGAAGATAGTGTCCCGGTAAAGCTGGAATTGAGCCAACAGACAGTCCCTACTGGGGAGCAACCCATCAGGGCTTGGCACAAAGGCCGAGGCAGGATGTGCCATGGAGATGGAACTCACTGACACCCAGGAACCAAAGAAGGGGGGTCAGAAGTGAGGAAAGGAGCTGGTGGTTGGTAGCTCATGCCTGTGATGGGGTAGACTCTGCTGCCTCCCCTGTGGCTTGGAAGGGAACTGTTAAGGGGATGGAGTTGAGTCCAGACTTTAGCAACCAGTGACCTCTGCCCTTTATGCTCATAATTCAAGAAGATTCTCTGGGGCCCAGCCTGTGATCACTTCTTGGAAAAGGCAAGTGATTGGCAGACATAGGTGAGTGCCCTTTTCTTGGGGTCACCAATCCGTCAAACCTCAACTTCACCTCTCTTGCCTCCAAGGGTTGAAATGATCCCAGAAAGCAACAGAGTCTTTCCTGGTCTGCCTGTGGGGCAAGAGGGTGGGGGATGGGCAAGTGATTAGTTAGGAACCCCAATCCCCAATGATCAATCAATTTTAGCAGAGTTTAGGGCACTCTAATTTCAAAGTTCTTGGTAACTTCTTAGTGTTTTTGTTTTGTTTTGTTTGGCAGGGGGTGGCTTCTAGTCCATAGCTTTCCAACCTTTTTTTTTTTTTTTAATGTCAGACACACATAAAAATAATACTTGTTTTACTTGTTTGGCACACTGGGAAGAACTGGAGGGGAGTTGCCTCCCAGATGAAGGTGCTCACAGCTGGAGCTGACTAACCCAGAGGCCCCCGCGACCCCAGCCACCCAAGGGCCAAAGACAGCAGCGTCTAACATCACATAGTTGGGAAGCCCCTTTAAGCTAACCCACTGTCTACCCACCATGCAATGAAGCTTAAGACAGGCTCCAGGAGGCTGGACAATCTACTAGGACTTAATGGGCAGCAGACGATGCTGGGAATTAAGAGAGGATGGCACTGTTTCCATGACAGATTAGAACTCCTACATCTTTCTAACCATACTTGGGACAGACACCAAGCAGGAAATGATGGAGGCAATATTAAGAAACTGGCTTTTCTAGGCCACTGCTTAAATGATGGGTTTCTTATCCCCATGTCCATGTTGTGCTTGCCTCATTCTAGTAGTTGCTGTATGCTGAGGGTGACCCATGGGCATACATCCCTGGGCTTGCCGTGCTTAGCCAAGTGGCAACAGGCCTTTCTCTCTTGTGATGACAGGTGGAAAAGCTGGTCCATGAGAGAGGAGGGGCACATGGAGCGAGGCAAGCAGTGGGGAAAGGCAGCCCCCTGACAACATTCCAGTGTTTATAACAAAGCCCTCGACTTAGGCCACATCTGGCTGCCTGGACCAAGGACTGGAAAAGGAATTTCTAGGTCCCCCAGCCCATGAATTTAGTACTGCCTAGGCAGGGTATGCCCAAGGCACCAAAGAAGCCCTCAAATGATTAAAAATCAAAGGGCATTGGAGGACTCAGCTCCCTTTGAAATAGAGAACCAAGGTAGGTTAGTGGAGATCCTTAGAATTGACAGGCTTACCGGTTAATGGAAATGAAAATGTTGACCTCAGCTTCGTTTGCCACCTTTTAGGCTCCCCAACCTGGTTCCTTCTCTCTTTACGATTCTCACTCCATTCAAATCTCAAAGGTATCTCCTACTTCCCTCTTACTGGTGCTGCTATCATTAATCCACACACTCTAAAGACATTATATGTATAAAGTTTTTTTCCTGCCATTAGTGTCATCCATTGTTTAATAACTGCCCCTTCTTCAGACTCCAAACTGTGTGAGGCAGGACTCTATGTCTGTTGTAGACACTGTTGTGTCTTCGTTCTTAGCACAGTCCCTTGTACACATTAAGTATTCAATAAATAACAAGCAAATAATAATAGCTATTACCACGTGCCAGGCATGGGGCTACATATACTATCTCTAACCTTCACAAAACACTATAAGGGATGGAATATGAACCCCATTTTACAGGTGAGGAAATCAAGGCTGCAGAAGGTAAGGGGCTCAGCCAAGGGGTGCAGTCAAGATTTAAACCCAAATCTATACTGATTCCAAAGCCAGGAGGCTGCTGATTATTGTCAGCTCTGTACTGAACCCTTTGCAGTCTCATTGCCACATGTGCAGGCACTGTCCACTATCACCCAGGTCTTGGCACACCTACAAGGTGCAGGAATTCACACAGACAAACGCCTGACAGTGACAAGCCAACAGACACAACTGCCCCACCAGCTATGCCCCTTGAGATCAGAAGTGGCGATTAGGACAGACTGGTATTATCTATCATTGACGCAACCAAACATGCAAGCAGCTCTCAGGAAACAACGGGGCACAGGGCCCCCAGCAACCTACCGGCATAGTGGTAATTTGCTAAAGGATGACATTTTAACCTGACTGGCTTCCGCAGCAGCAGCATTTCCAGAGCAGCCTGCAGACCCAGGGAGAGGAAAGACAAGAGTCAGTAACAGATCTGTGTGTCCCAGGGAGACCTACCCAAAAGAGGTAAAGAGCACCCAACAGGACTCATCGTTCTAACCCCTTCCCCAGCCCATGCCTGAAGCCAGTTGGTCATGTCACAGAAAAACACAGATGGCAACTGAGACTTGACTTCTTCTTTGGTGAGGGTCCACCAGCCTCAGAGAGATGGTGGGAGCCTCCTCTGAATGGAGGCTGAGTCTCTGGACAATGGATCTGAGAAAATGAGTAGGTGACTTGTAACCGTTTTACAGAAAAATCACACGTTTCATTACAATTGAACATAAACAGCTATATTAGTAGTAACTATACCACACACCATCCTTCCAGACAGCCTAGCTAAATAAGCCTTTTCAAATCTGCCTCCTTCATCCTCGTTGGTTTTTTAAAAAGTGCTGGAGGCGGAATTGAGCATTGGATGGTTTAGGGGCACATCAATGCCTTGAATCTTGCTACTCCAGGCAAGGTCCACAGACCAGCAGCAACAGCATCGCCTGGGAGCTGATTGGAAATGCAGAACCTTGGGCCCCACACCAGACCTGCTAAATCGGAATCCACATTTTAACAAGATTCCCAGGTGATTTGTGTGCATGTTAAAAGTTTGAGAAGTGCAACTCTGTATCACTGATCTCAAAGGATTAAGGATACTTATCCAACATTCTAGGAAATATTTGAAGAGCATCACAGTATTGGGACATTTGTTCATTTTCACATTTTCATAAAATTAAAAAGCAGGAAGCTAGACCTAATACCAGGAACCCTGTATTATTTACATAAAGGGGAAAATGAGGTAAACGATTGAGTGATCTGGCCAGAAGTCCAGGCTGAACAGGCAAATTGTCAGCTCTGATTCTGGGAACACAACACCAAGGCTCTGGGTTGGGGACATCTGCAGAAATGTGTTAAAGGTGAAAGAATGGAACCAGTTAGTGTATAGAAAACACTTCATTTTGGTTACAGGAGAAAAGAGTTCTATAAGCATCAAACTCTGGCCGATTTCCATAACAGAAAAGAACAATCGGCAGAGAATGATAGGCCAGCTCTTGTTTTAGTAAGGCCTTCTACCTCCATCACTGGAAACTCAGTTTTCTGATGCGAAATACAAGGCAGATGAAAAGAAATTCTAATTTCCTAAGATAGATTTGCCCACAATTATAACTTAGAAACAGATGTGTAAACAGAAGTCAAACTGGAGATTTTTTCTGCAGGCTTTTAAGTCCTGACCTACTCACTGAATTAAGAAATGCGAAGCCATGTTGATTGGTTACCATTTTATGAATTGGTTGTATGGTACATGGGACAATATAGAAACTTGGAGAAATCCTTTTCAGAATTCTGATGTGAAGAAGATGAACTGTGAAGACTCCTTTTCATGGCTCCTTACCATCACATCACCTTTGGCCTCGAAGAGAGAGTGCAAAGCAAATTCAGAATTGGTCCCTCCACCTGGCAACGCGCTTGAACAACACAAATTCAGAAGATTCTCCACTGTTGGAAACAAGAAGCCACTGCATTAGAGAGCTCAGTATCATGGAAAAACATACCAATCCGGGAGTCAGAGATCCCAGTGAGAGAATCAAGCCTCTCCCACCAGTCTCTCCCCATATGCCAATACCTCTCTGCTCGAGGTCGTGGTTTTCCAGCTCTGGCCAGGGCTTCCATACCAGTGTGGCCTTGTGTGTGTCCTGGGCCAGGGCAGAGACATCCTGAAGTTCTGGGATCTCTGCTTGAAATCTCAAGCCAATGTTGATACGTCTTTAATGACAAGAAGAAAAACAACAGTGTGGTCTTCAATTTGATTGCCTACGCCAAAGGCAACTGTCAGAAACTTGAAAAGGAAGAAAACCAGCTCCTTCTGCAAGAAGAACGCAGGGGCATTTACTCACAGTGTGACCCTAAGATTCCAGGCATGGCCTTTTCACTGGGATAAGGAACAACTTTAAGATCGGGGAGAAATGTTGGGGGAGCAAGGGTGCAGTCTGCCTGGGGCTTCATAGCTCCCTGTAACTGGGAGAGAGAAGGTAGCTAATTCCAAGAGAACAGCTGCCCACAGCATAGGCGATGGTACCATTTAACCAGAGAAAAGGGGACAAATATGAAGTGTTTATTTCATTTTTTTATCCCTTTCAGACTACTTTGACACACATTATCCCATTTGAACCTCACAAAGAGCTTTGACACAAACAAGGCAGTAATAATAATTTCCATTTAATATGAATCAACCAAAGCCTAGAAAGCTTAACTTGATCAAGATCAAATAACAAAACGGTGTCGGAGCACACGTTTTCTAATTTCTGACTCAATCTACTTACCACTCTACCACCTGGCCTCTTTTCTGTGGCTACCCATGAAAATAACTACCTTTCTCTTCCATAATAACCCCCACTGCCCATGTATGATTCAAGTACTCAACAAGCCCATTTGGAAGACTGGCCAAGAACCTGAGAGAGGGGATGGGGGAAGTGAAGGCATTGGAAGGAGCCTCTTGGAGAGTTGGGCATCTGGAGAGAGATGTCTCAGTGTTACTGGGGATGTGCAAGCCCATGGCTACAACCAGGCTGGCCTGTGGAGTCGGAGATGGAGATACTAGGTTCTCCAGATACAGGGCTTCATACTTTTACTATGCACTTAGTCTTTGGCAAAGGCCTTGAAGTACTGGCAACAGTACAGAAGCAACAGTACTCAAGAAATATCATGAGCCTACAATTTCTACAACTTGTCTCTCCGTGGCCACTCTGACCACAGGAGTACTAAGCGCACTTCTCAAAGCTCTTGATCCCTTTCCTCAGCTGAGGCTTCTGTTCTAAAGAATAACTGGCTTTTCCTTACGGTTCAACATCCACAGTCTGCTCTCCAGGCCCCGGGGTGACTGTTATGTTGCTGCCGTCGATGCTGTCTGAAACACAAAAACCAGAGGGAACTGGTGAATGGGAAGGGGTGGTGAGGAAACTAAAACAAATGAGCAGTTACATAACCAGTCATAACAGGGCTCCCCTCGTACCCAACTTATCCGGAGTTACCCCCACCAGTGTCCAGGCAGCTGGATGGATGGAATGTGGTGCTACATGGCTTAGCATTACCCATTTGAGGTGAAGAGAAGCTGGCTGCTCCACACTGATCTGCTAAGCTGGAGGATTTCTATGCAATTATTCTGGCTGCAGAAAGAGATCCTGGCTACAGGCCTCTCCCTGTTTGATTTTTATAAAGCAGGCTAAAGCATCAAAGCTTGATCTTGCCTGTAATATCTAATCCTGTTGGTACATCTACTAAATACCTTCTGAGTATCTTACACGGTCACCCACAGCACAGTCCTAGATAGCGTGTGCACACTTCAACTGTTTCCTTACCCCAGAGGCTGTAGTGATCACTTTATGTGTTTGTCTCCCCCATTAGACTGCGATTCCCCTGAGGGTAAGGACTATATCTTATTCTAAGTATCTCCTAGCATCTAGCACAGTGTCTGGTAGACCTAACGGATCCTGCACAATAATCTGTGGGCTATCCCCTTACCCGCCAGCGGCCAAAATAAAAAAAAAATCTGTGGGATGAGTGAGGAAAGGAAAGAAGGCGAGGCCCCCAGGGCAGCAGCGGCCAAAATAAAAAAAAAAATCTGTGGGATGAGTGAGGAAAGGAAAGAAGGCGAGGCCCCCAGGGCAGCAGCGGCCAAAATAAAAAAAAAAATCTGTGGGATGAGTGAGGAAAGGAAAGAAGGCGAGGCCCCCAGGGCAGCAGCCAGCACACCCAGGGGCGTGCCCGGGGCGGGTGAGGAGGCCGAGGGGCGACTCACTGGAGCGGCACAGCAGCACCCGCGGCGTGGGCGTCAGGGGCGTGAGGGGCAGCTGCGGGTGGGCGCCCGGGCCGTGGCCGGAGATGAGGACATTGCTGAAGAGCCCCGAGCCCTGGCGCACCGGGCTGAGCATGGGCGGGGGCGTGTAGGGGGGCAGCTCGTGGGTGGGGTCCAGGAGGAGGTGGTCCCCGAGCACGCGCGGGGAGCGCAGCTGGCTCTGGTAGAGCGTGGCGCCCGAGTGCGAGGCGGCGGCGGGGTTGGGGTTGCAGCAGGGCGGTGGCGGGATGAAGAGCGGTTCGGGCCGGTGCCGGAACTTCTTCTTCTCCGGCGCCGTCTTGAGGGGCTCCTCAGCTTTGGGCACGCCCGGCTGCTGCTTCCTGGGGACTTCCTGGAAGGGAAGCGGGATCTGATTCCAACAGTCCGGCGTGCCCCCGACGGGCCGTTTCCACAGGTTCACGGAAGGGGATCGTCTCCTGTTCTAAAGGGGCTGCCTTCCGCTTGCCGCCCTCCCGCTCTCACCACATCCATTTCAGGCAAAGCCAGTTCTGGTGGCTTGACTAGGCAGAAAACGGATTTCGGAAGAAATCCCCAACGTCTGAAGAGCTGAGGTGGTAGGAATGGTGGGTGGGCAAGAAGTCATGAATTAAAATTCTTCGTAACTTATCACTGCATTCCCATCTGTTTAAGTGGAATGCAGCTGAGGGGGCTCTTTAATTCCCCACTGCGCCCCAGAGACGGCCCTCAGGGACAGATAACACATGATCTGAGAAGGGGACAGAATAATCTACTGAGGGAAGCGGGGGCAGAGGCCGGGGGGCGGGCAGAGGGGGTTCAGGCCTGGCCAAGGCTCCCAGGGCCGGCGACCCACCCTGGGCTTTCCTAGGTAACTCTCAGGCTGGGGGAGAGGCGTCTACGATCTTGAAGTCCCACTGAACGTGCTTTCCTAGAAATGGATCTGGTTCACTCCCCCCTCAGCACCCCTCACTGTTGTTCCCAGCACTGGTGGCTCGTCTGTAGCAAGCCTCTCTCCTAGGCTGGCTTCCTGTCAGCAGCGTTAGTTTACTTGAGGGCAGCAGAACCAAGCATAGTCTGGAAGGAAGATCTGCCGCATCGATACATATATACTAATAAGTAAACATACACACGTAAACAGATAAGCAGGGCGTGCCAAAGCCAAACAGAAACAGACTTGGGTTGGGTGCTAGCATCAGCCCAGAAAAGTGGAGAGAGCTGGGTGTGGCTGGGAGAGGCGGCGGGGATACCTGTGGGAAGGTTCTGGGTGGTCTGTGGTACTCTCTCAGGCCCTGCAGGCCAGTGGCCAGTCACAGCCGCAGTTCCTGGCAATTCCTGTGCCCAGGGTGGCGCCTGAGGAGGAGGCAGCAGGGGGTGATGGGAAGGGCTGGCCATGGTCACATGACCAGCTGCCTGCAGGCCATGTGACCTGCCCCAGTCAGCTCCTCAGCTGTGGGCTCTTCTCCCTCTGGCCTCCTGCTGCCTTCAGCACTTCAGGCTCTACCCCCTCCTGTTTCTCCCTCAGCTTCCTTGTCTTCCAAGATGCTATCCCAACCTCTTGGAGGCAAGTCTAGGGAGGTAGAGAGGTGGGGAAAGGAGGAGGGAGCAGATGGCTCCAGTGTGGCTGTTCCCAACCCTATCTCACCCCCAGGGGGCTCTCCTTAGGCCAAAGCACACCAACCTGCCTCCTTACCCCACCAGAGGGCTCCTCACCGCCTCAGGCTGAGGCAGAGAGAGGAGGCTGAGGAGAATGGGAAGGATGCCTATGCCCTTCACCTGGGGAGCAATCCTTTATACACTGTTCCCAAGTAACTGATGACATCATCTAAGCACATGCATACCTCATGTGATCTCAACTGCACTGGAATCCGAACCTCTGATCACAGGGCCAAAGGTCCCTTTTGGGCTGCCTCCCCTCCAGCTTCCTGTCCTGTGACTCCAGCTCAAAACCTGGATTTTCTGATCCTCCAGGCAAGCCTCTAAGCCACCTGGGCCAGAGGAACCACCCAGAATGTCACATCTGGATGTCATTTTAGAGAGAGCATTTACACTGTTCCACCCCATCAAGCTATTCAGACTCTCTGGAGGCGGGGCCAGCACTGAAGCTTTAAAAAGCTCCTGCCCACTGAGAAGGGTGGAAACCACCAATGAGCCCAACCCCTTCAATGTCAGCGGAGGAAACTGAGGCTCTGAGAGAGGGAGGGTCTCAGCTGTCTTGGTCCCAGCTGACTAGGAGCAGAGCTGGGATTAAAACTCAAGGTTTCTTCCTGGACATTTTAATTTCTTTACTTCCAGGGCCAGGACATTGCTCACCTTTACTCAGTCTTGTCTACATGCTTCCCACTCAGCCTATCTCCCCACTGACTGATGATCTCTTGAGCAAACTCATACCAAACTCCTTGGCCTCTCCCCAGTTCCTAGTTAACTTGAGCTCCCCAGATGTATTCCCATCCAGCCACACCCAGGGCAGCAGTTTCTGTCTGCTCTCATCTTTCTCTCAACGTCTGGAATGAGTGGGAGAGGGATGTGTGTGCTGCCTGTGTGACTAGGAACCCTTGATTGAGAGTTCTCCAAGGGTAGAAACTGTCTCTCCCACCAAATCGGGAACTTCCCTGGGCAAAGAGGACGACTGGATATATCATTTCATCTCTCTGCCTGTTGCTGGCCCCCAAGTCCTGCCAGCTTATGAGAATCTTCACCCCCAGAGGTTCTCCATCAATCTCTCCACTTCTGAGACCTTGATATTACATAGAGAACCACAGAGGTTCTTTCTGAACTTTTCTAGTTCTCTTAATTATCCTCCCTACCCCTATTCTGGCTCAACCCAACTCTCATGCCTCCTGGATTCTCGGCAGCTGCCTATTCTCTAAGGACAAAGTGGGGAGGCGTTAGGTCTAATAGAGGTAACCACACAGATCACAAACTCCCTAGGGGCGACAAAGAAAAAGTCAGAGACAGAGACAGAGAAAGACAGAACTCTGCCCCAGAGTCAAGGTGAGCTGCTTGGGTGAAGCAATTGGAATTTGAGAAAGAGGAGAACTTAGTGAGTAAGAACACAAATCTCTTTGCTTTCCTGAGACTGGGGGTGGGTAGCTCTCAGTGAAACTACTTTGGGAACTTTAACAAATTAGGTTATTTAAGCAAGGGTGATACTGAAAATATTAAGCATCTGGTAAGGCCGATCATGGATGCCAGGACTATTGCCGCGAGGCCCTGCTATGCCCGGGGTTACCTATGCAGTTGCTGGATTTGGGGAGATCTGCAGATCCTGGGGAAGGAGCCATGGCCCAAGGGCAACAGCTATTTATTATCTGGGACAAAAATACTTCCATATTTTAATAACTCGTATGTTTGAATTACTGATTGCCACCTGAATTATCATCTCTGTTTAAAACTGGGAACACCTCAGGTCTCTCAGAATCTAACCCAGATCATTGGCCTGGTAGAGTAACAGGCATTTAAGGGGCAATGTGGACGAGGTTGGGGTTCCCAAGGTGGCTGTGGGCACTCCGCCCCAAGAGGCCAAGCCACATCTGAACTCAGGTGAGTGACTCTGGGAGAGCGGTTCCCATCTCCAAGAAAGCAAAGGGAGGTCCCCATCCCAGGAAGGCGGGGCAGAGCAGCAACTCACAGCAGGCATGCGGGGGGCAGCCCCTTGGGGTGAGCGTGGGGGAGAGAGGGTCATCCTCACGAGCACAGGCATCTCGTCGTCCAACATCGAACTGGCCGGCTTGTCTCTGGCGGAAGGAGCGGCAACGGTGCTGTTGGTGAACCCCTGAGAGCTGGGCTTGGGTGGGAGAAGCTTGACAGGGACAGACACGGGCATGACCATAGGCGTGAGGCTTTCTGCCTCGGGAGGGAGTTGCGGTGGTGGCGGAGGCGGAGGCGGCAGTGGCGGCTGGGGCTGAGGCGGCGGGACTTTCTCTCCTTCCTCCTACACAGACAATAAAGGCTTTGATCCTGGGCTGAGAGCAGCTCTCACAAGGGGGGGATGCACTTTGCTCTTCCTCAAAGGTTCCAGGACATCAGGCAGGGTGATAGAGAACCACTGCAGGTTGGTTTCCTTCCTGTAACCCTGAGTCCAGTTGGCATAGACAAGGCTATACACTCTCTTTTCTACATTTAAGAAATCTTAACCAGGTTATCACTTGTATATTAAAATATTAAAAAATTGAGGGCTGGCCAGTTAGCTCAGTCAGTTAGAGAAGAGCCTTTATAACACCAAGGTCATGGGTTCAGATTCCTGAATTGGCCAGGTGCCAAAATAAGAAAAAAAATTTTTTTTTTTTTT